TACGGTACGGTACGGTACGGTACGGTACGGTACGGTACGGTACGGTACGGTACGGTACGGTACGGACGGAGGAGAGAGAGAGAGAGAGAGCGCGCGGGCGGGCGAGGGGGGGGGGGTGGAGGAGGAGCTGGGAGGGAACAAGCACTGACGTGTCGGTCAGAGCACCGCGTCCATCGACTACTCGCTGCGCCGGCTGAGGTAAGTTATCCGCCCTCCAAGAGCTCCTTCCCCTCCTCGTTCTCACCTGGTGTGACTGGGCCCACCAGCACCACCCGGTCAGCCAGCACGGCGAGCAGGTGAGGCTCGAAGGGGATCGCTCCTTCTGACAGAAGGTCAGGCCGAGGACAAGCGGCAAGTCAAGATCCACCAATGTGGACACAGTGCACGCTAAGGCCATCGATCACAGCAAGCGGATGGACTACTACAACCAGTACAAGGTTGAGTCAGTTGTCGGCGTCCTCGCGCTGAGTTTGCGCAGGCGACGAGAAGTCGGCCGTCGGCTGAGCAACAGGCTGCGGACGAGAAGACAGCGGTTCTTCGGAAGCTCTACGGCGGCAGGCAAGACAAGAAATCCACTGACTTGATTGATTATTATCTCTGTAATTTGATCGTTCGTGTTCAGTTCGCTTCCAGTATTGTACAAGTACGAGGACGGGCACATGCAGCGCTTGCGACTTACTATGAGCCCCGTGAAGACTTCGCAAGCAGCGCAGCAACGAAGAGACTCGCTCCCCAAGGTGCTGAGGAATGAGGAAAGAGAGAGAAAGTGAGATAGGACGCTACCGGCTCCCTTGTCCTCCGTAGAGTATGCAGTGCCTACGAGGGGGGTCAGAAAGGAGGAAGATAGAAATGGTTTGATACACCTCGTCTGGTTGAGAGCCCTCCTGTACTCTTGATTCTGCAACTGCAACAGATTGAATTTCTCTTGCAAGAGCTGCCAACTCGTCGTCAGACCCTCTCTCCTCCTCTTCCTCCTTCTCCTCCTCGCCCCCTCTACCTGGATCTCCTGCGTCAAGAAATGTTGATAATTCTCCAGTATATCCGTCAGGCCGGACTTCTGCCCAGTAGCTCAGCAACAGGGAGTAGAAACATCTCAAGAGACCTCTAAGTATCTCTGCCACGACGAGGAGTCAGTACTAGAGAAGTTCGGGTCTGTTCCCGCCACTGATCTCGGGACCACGTTGCCCTCGAACACGGTGATCTCACAGAACTGTTGGATCCGTAGCCGGAGGTTGCGAGACAGGAGCTTCTGTGCGAAGCCCCCGCTGTCGCTGAACTTGAGCGACAGCGTCTGGAAGTGGAGGGAGAAGTTGCCGACACAGTCGTCGACCAGCTGTTCGTGTGAGATGGCGAAGACGTCAGGGTCGTCCTTGGGCTCGGTGGTGGATACTTGAGGGTAGACTATCTTGCTCCTTGTGCGCGTCTTGAAGTAGACGATCATCAGCACGCATATCAGCAAGCACGTAAAGATCCAGACGGCTGATGAAGGACGCAGAGTCGTCAAGAGACGTGACAACATGGGGCATGTTCACCTCGACAGAAGGGAAAGAGCAACGACTGTTCGGGTTCTTGCACGGAGCTGCAAAGTCGCATCGTCAAACGTCCTGATGAGAAGGTGCAAGAAATGGGATATCATCACCTCGTAGCGCTTGCTTCAGAATTTTGCTTCGCAAGGACCAGCACAGGCGGTTGTTCCTCGTGTCTCGTTCTTGAATCCCCCTCCTTCCGTGCGTTCTCCGCTTCTGCTGCCTTCCGCTCTGCATCCTCCTCCGCTTTCTTCCTTCTATCCTCTTCTTCCAATTTCCTCCTCTTCTCCATTTCTTCTGTCTTCCTCTCCTCTTCTTCTGCTTTCCTCCTTCTGTCCTCTTCTTCTGCTTTCCTCCTTCTCTCCTCTTCTTCTGCCTTCTTCCTCTTCTCCTCTTCAGCCGTTTTCCTCCTCTCCCCCTCCTCAGCGATCTTCCTCCTCGCTTCTTCTTCCTCCTGCCTCTTCCTCCCCTTCTCTTCTTCCTCCGCCCTGCCGCTCTCAACCGACAGCTGCGAGATGGCGGTCCTGCACAGCCGTAGAGCTGATTCGAACTCATCCCTCAGCTCCTCTCCACTCGCGGGCTGCTCCTCATGCAGCCGACCAGAGTCCCGCGACACGTTCGACCCCCAGCTGCCTCTGATCTCGCCCGACTGACTCGAGCTCCCTCCGTCCTGCTGCGGGAATGCCGCCTGCTTCAGGCTGCCCGTCCTCGTCTGGAGATTCAGCGGAATGAGGGGAACACAAGGGCAAACTCTTGAGGCCTCACCTGCTCCCCGGAAGTGGGACTTCCATCCTGTCTGTTCCTCCTCCACGCACTGAGGATGTCTGGAAGCCGGCAGGCATCACAGGGGGCAGGCGGAGCCGCAGCTGCTCTACCTTGATAGGCACTCTCCTGGAAGACAAACGACTTGAACAAGTACTCCTTTTGATCTGCCAATCACGGTCAGCAACATGTCCGAACCCGACCCCGAGGACCCAAGAACCCACAGCCATGGCCCGTCCTTGTGTGACGTCACATAGAAGCACTTGCCTGTTGACACGCTGATGCCCTCCGGGGCTCCCTTGGTCGACACATTCTGCGGAAGCAACTCAGGGCCCGATGGCAGTGCAGCCCTGCTCTACCGCATGGACATCGGTGATCCTCTCGTAAGGGATGGTGAAGATCGACTTGTCATGGGCTCGTCGTGAGATGAAGATCAGCGAGTTCGTCGCAAGTCTTATCCTCCCCTGCGTCAACTTGCCCGTCCGCTTCCTCTGCACGCACTTCACCTCCAACTCTACAACCAGCTGCAGCAGGGCAGCACAGGGCACCTCATAGACGCAGGCCACGTCGTTGTCGAGCACGTCGTCGTACCACTGACTCAAATCACGATGCGCTGCGCTGCCCGCAATGCTTGAGCTGCTGCTGCAGTCAGAAGTCAGACAGGCCAGTCTAAGAGTACAGTGAAGAGGGGAAAGGGGACTCAAGGGAACTTGAACTACTGGGCAGATATTACGAAAGTGAGGAGCCGTGTTATGGTGGAAGCCATGATGAAAGGTGAGATGTGTATCATTCAAGATTAGAAGAGAAAGACGAGGGTATTGACATGATTTTCTGGCTGGCGTTATCCCAAACGAATCGTGGCTGCAGTGATTTCCTGCGCTTCGGGGCAGATGCTGATGAGCATGAAGCATGGAAAACGACATTGAGGCGAAGAAAACACTGGAAGAATGTTGTTGAATGATGTGTGATGTGTTTTCGGGTGCTTTGCCTTGATCAAGCTGTCGAAATTTTCGATAGATGCAGGACTTGCACATATGTCACAAAGAGGCTCTGGGAGAGGGGCAAGAGCAAGCCACAAGATGATAGAGACCGTGATGGTGGAGAAGCATGTGGAGAAGAGACGTGGAAAGAGTTCTCATGGGCATTTGCTTGTCGCTACCTCGGCTCCTCCGCCATGTCGTCCTTGCCTTCTCAGTCTCCTCTGCCTTCCCGCAGAGCCATGCTGATAAAGTAAGCAGTCGGGAGTTTGGAGTGGACATAGTGGGGTAGGGTACTCTGAAAGAGCCTAGATCTGATACAAGGGTGGGTATTCCAAATATATCTTTGATGGGATATGGGGGGTCAGAGGCTGATGCTGGACGCAAAACGTTCTTTCCGATCGTCGGGGTAGTAGACATTGGTGGGGTAGGGTGGTAAAAATGTCTGCGAGGCGGGCTTGACAACTTTTCAAGTGAGTCCGGCGGGCCCGGCGGGGGCCCGGGGCCGCCCGGCGCCGACCGTCTCACTGACAGCCATCCGACGGCGAGCCGCCGGGGCCAGGCCCGAGGCCCGGGAGCGCCCGGCACGTCTCGGCACCCGGTTGGGCCCCAGGCTGAGCCCTGCGCTGCAGCAATCAAGCCCGGTGCTGGCCGCTGACTTAATTCCTGGCCGCCGATGATTCCCCGGCGGGCCGGGCCCCGGCGGCGGGACTCCGGGACCGGGTCACGTTCACTCCGATCCGACTATCGGAAGCCGGCGGCAATTTCAAAAGTTTGAAACTTTTTTAAACTTTAGAGCGGCTGAAACTTCGGGAACGCTGAGTTGTGACTGGACTGCAGGCAAAAGGACCGGTGGTACTCCAGTCCTTTCCTGTAAAATGGGGGTGGGGTGACATATCTCTCTCATATGCACCCCTTCCTTTCAAAGTATAAAGTGGGGTAATGGGTGCAATAGTAGGGTACGAATTGACGATGGTGGGTAGGGTATAACCTAGGTAGGCCTGCTAGCAATGGGATGGAAGGTAGAGGAGGACGAAGCGAACTAAAAGCAGGAGGAAAGAGAGAGAGAGAAGAGACGTAGAGACAGAGACAGAGAGAGGGGGAGGAGGAGAGCAAGAGCAAGATCAAGAGCGAAAGAGGGAAGCTGAAGCCTTGATGGCGATACTCGAGGCTGGATGATGCTATGCGTGATATTTCAATGAGGGATGGGTGAAAGTAGTCTGACGGGGGAAACTGCCAAGAGCAAGTGAGCAAGCAGTTGAAACCTGATCCACGATGAGGTCATGCACCAGTTGTCGCACAAGGGGCACATGGATCCTGCGGCCAATCATCCTAGTTCTGTTTGTCCGTATGCTGCGGTGCGACATTCCTTCACTGGATGCCAACCAGCCATGCGCGCCTCCCACTCCTGCTCTGCCGCTCCTGCGATGGAATCTCGGGCCGGACAAGTCGAGAGTGCTGAGAATCCAGAGTGTGAACGAGACGTTGAACGTGCTGTCGGAGCTGGAGGGCGAAGTCGTGGTGGTGTCAATCGTGGGGCCATACCGTACAGGGAAATCCTTCTTGCTGAATCAGCTCGTCCCACACGAGCCGGGGAACCTGACATTCAAGGTCGGGGACACTATCAAGCCTGAGACGGAGGAGGTCACGCTCGTTATCATCCCCCCCTGTGCCTCACAGGGCCGGTACCGGCACCATGTGTTCCTCGACACCCCTGGGCTGTTCGCTCCCAACCGCGCGTCGATCTTCGATGCCCAGCTGCTGGCGGTCCTGAACCTCGTCAGCAACGTGGTGCTGTACAACAGTGTTGGAGTGATCGACCGGGCCGCCGTCGAGAAGCTCTCGTTCGCCGTCGAGACAGCGTTTGCAATGAGTTACTTTGAGGAGCAGGACAAGGCCGACAAGATCTCCCGGCCGCATCTTGTCTGGGTGGTGCAGAACTTCCACCTGGACATGTCCTTGGATGGGACCAAGATCGACGGGAACAGCTGGATCAACAAGCTGCTGACGCAGGTCGACGACAGCAACAACGGCACCTCGAAGATTTCTCAACAGTTCCACACTTTCTTCTCGTCGCTGGATGCTGTCGTCCTGCCGTTCCCAGTGGACAAGGTGAGATGGCTGCCCTCGATCACGCGTGGAGGCATGCTGAAGTGTTGTCCCAGGTGGAGGACATGAAGTATCTGAGTCAGGTGCGGAGAACCGTTGTTGAATAGCGCGATTGGTGCCTGACAAGCATCTGTGATGAACGCAGTTGCCTGCCTCTGCATACACGAAGGACTATCACAAGTCGATTGACTACCTGCTGATGAAGATCAGGAGGTTGTCATGCCCTCGTTGCCACTAGCCCTGCGGGTCTGAGCTATGGCGTGCAGTGTAGCAGGGCCCAAGGTGCTGGGGTCGGTGAAGATGACGGGGAGCTCGCTGGCAAACCTCATCTGGAAGGTAAGGAGGAGGACGAGAGGGGGAGTGAAGTAGCGGTGAAGCCATGCAAGTGGTCAGAGACTATCAACATGCCGATCGCGAGCTTCAAGGCCAACTCAGCCCAGGATCTTCTAGATCACATCTTGTACCAGGTGCGTCCACGGGCCCCGGGGTCGGGCGGTGGAGGTGACGCATGCTGCAGGAGGTGAAGAAGGCGAGTCTCAAGTACACGGACGTCATGCGGAGGAGCGTGGTGCACCCGTCTTCCAGGGACTTGATCCTTTCGGTTCACAGGAGATTGATCGATCGCCTCGCTGGGTGGATGCTGGCATCCTTTTTCAGTCCTGATGGAGCTGCAGGAACGGGCCAGGGAGGGTGAGGGAGCTGGTGGAGGCTGCGGTTCACCCGGTTCTCGAGGACCATCTCCTGGCTGCTCGGAGGTTCGTGGAGAATCGCTTCCAGAGGATCACGCAGGTAAGCGGAAAGAGAAAGTGCAAGGGAGAAAGTGGAGGATAGAATGGAAGGAGGAGGGAGGGAGGGAGGGAGGGAGGGAGGGAGGGAGGGAGGGAGGGAGGGAGGGAGGGAGGGAGGGAGGGAGGGAGGGAGGGAGGGAGGGAGGGAGGGAGGGAGGTAGG